ATTAACTATTTCGAATTTGGCGTTACTCCTTGTAGAATGAGGTTTACCAAATCTGAATTAAGCGCATGTATAGATGCTATTGAAGTTAATTTGAAATAACGGCTGGTATTTCGAATTAACTTTGCAGTGTAGACTTGCCCTTAGGGAATCAAAATCTGCTCTTTTGAAGTTCAGGGTGTGTATTTTGCTACTCTTCTTTCTTCCTTTGGTCAGCATCCTGAAATCTACCATCTCATGATCACTGCTTCCCAGGTTGTCACCCACTTCTACTTCCTCTACTAATTCCTCCCTGTTTGTGAGCAGCAGGTCAAGCTGCATATGGCCCCTGGTCGGTTCCTTCAGCACTTGTACCAAGAAGTTATCCCCAACATTCTCCAAAAACGTCCTGGATTGTCTGTGTACTGCTGTATTGGTCTCCCAACAGACGTCAGGGTGATTAAAGTCCCCCACGAGAACCAGGGCCTGTGATCTGGAAACTTCTCTCAGTTATCCAAAGGAAGCTTCATCTACCTCATCCACATGATCCAGTGGTCTATAGCAGACACCAACCACAACATCACTCCTTCCATGACAGTGCTCCAGTCATGTGAGTTGTCCCATCCGTTATTCCAATCAAATCATAGTTCTTCAACTGGGCCAGGGCTTCTAATTCTTCCTGTTTGTTTCCCAGGCTTCTCGCATTGGTGTACAAACACCTTAATAACCAGTTGATCGCCCTGCCTTCTCCATCCAAATCAGGGGTCCTCTGTTGTTGCTCGTTCCTCCTTGTGATTCTTCCCAGTGTCCGACTTCCTCACTTACCTCTGGGCTTTGGTCACTGTCCCCCAATGAACCTAGTTTAAAGCCCTCCTCACTCGGTTTGCAAGCCTGCCCACAAAGATGCTCTTTCCTCTCTTGGTTAGGTGGATCCCATCTCTTCCTAACAATCCTTGTGCCCGGAACAGAGTCCCACAGTCAAACCAAAGCCCTCTCTGCGACACCACCTGTGCAATCACGCATTTACTTCCTCAATTCGACGATGCCTACCCGGACCTTTTCCTTCAACCGGAAGGATGGACGAAAACACCACTTGCGCTTCAGGTTCCTTGATCCTTCTTCCCAGCGCTACATCATCTGCTGTGACCTGCTCAAGGTCATTCTTGGCTGTATCATTAGTTCCTACATGGAGAAGCAGGAAGGGGTCATGATCTGAAGGTTTAATCACTTTCGGAAGACTCTTGTTCACTGCTCCCAGTAAGCAGCACACTTCTCGAGACTGCAGGTCTGGATGGCAGATGGATGATTCAGTTCCTCTTAGGAGGGAGTCCCTGACCACCACCCATCTTCTTTTCAGGGGGTGGTCGTGGAACCCCCATCCCTAGGACTGCGCATCCCATGCCTTCCGGTAAATGGTGTTCCCTTCTGATTTCTTCCATGAGAGGTTCCTGCCAAAGCATTTGCCACCGCAGTGCCTGTGGAGAGAGCCTGAAAGCGGTTCCTTATCTCTACAGGTATGGGGGACACCTGAGTTGGCCTTCTTCTCCTTCTAGAGGTTACATGCTGCCAGTTTTCTTCCGTGTCCTGTACTGCCCTGACTGGCTCTTCAGCCTGCTGTGCCTGCAGGATCAAACGCTGCCTTCTATCGAGGAAGTCTTCATCCTCTCTGACAGAACGTAGGGTCCATACTTGGGCCTCCAGTCCTCTCATTTTTTCTTCCAAAATGGCGACCAGCTTGCACTTAGTGCAGATGAAATCCCTTCTTCCGGGAGGAAGACAAACATGCACATGCTGTGCAGATAACAACAGCAGAGCTATCACCATCCATACCTGCCTTCCTTCTGAGAGATTCCTCAGATGTTATTAAATGCCTCCTTGAAGGGCAGGAGTGTAGTGAAAAGATATTAAAGAATGGCAAGTATATCTTGCCCCCTTCCCAACGCCCTCTCTAAACTCCGTTAAGAGCCCCTGTTCACCACCACCCTGGTAGCTGACTCACTCCTTTATAAAACCCCCTAGACTGCTTGATAGCCCCTGTCATGATTATGAGGGTTAGCCAGCAGCCTGGGGATTAAGGGGTTAACTACACCTAGCCAGGTGGAGTGACCAATAGGAATGTAGGTGGGATTTTTCAAACTGGGACAAAGGAATTTGGGTTTCTCTCTTTTCTCCCTTTTGTCTCTCAGAGAGTCCTCTGCAGCTACAGAGAGGGACAAGCATGTCTCTCTCTCTCTCTCCAAGACACCATTCTTCATGTTCTGTAAGTAGGGTAAAGTTTAGGCAGTTTCGTTAGGTTTTATTGTTTTAAGGATTGGGTATGGGATCTGAGATCTGGCACGGTTTAAAAGATGTTTTGGCTTTTCTTTGTAACTAAGTTCTAGGCCCATGGAGTTTCTCCATGAGTATATTTTGTTACCTTCCTCTCCAGTCATTATACTTGAAACCAGAATATTGTTGTAATAATAAAAGTTCTTTCTTTTCTTTTATTAACCTGGCAGTGGTTAATGGTGTGCCCTGATTTTTGTTTTAGGGGTAAGATTTCCCAAATGATCTTTCCCCTGATTTCTTTATCAACATTTGGGTGGTGGCAGCGGAAGTTTTATTCCCAAGATCTAGGTTTTTAAGATCTTGGGGGGAATTTTATACCAAAGCCTGGTAGATAAGGCTTTGGGGTACACTTGCTGGCCCCCACTTCTGCATTTATCATGCCAGAGTGGGGAAGGAGCCATGACACTAGATCTTGGGAATAAAACTTCCGTGGAACGAGGTGTACCGGTAGTTCGGAATAGGAATCCTAGTCCGAACTACCTAGTTCGAGCCCCGTGTAGCCGCGCTGCACAGGGTTCGAACCAGCGGGGTTTTAAAAATGGCGGCTCCCCGCTTATGCAAATGAAGCCCGGGAAATTCAAATCCCGGGCTTCATTTGCAAGTGCGGTATGCCTACATTACCCTCCTAGTTCGAACTAGCGGGGTAGTGTAGACATACCCCAAGTCTTGATGAGCAACTGTTAAACAATCTCTTTTGTCCTTAAGTCTGAGCAGTGGTTGGTAGGGAGGGGCCTCAACTCCTTAACAAAAGGAGTAGGAAAGCAGAGGCCTGGGTCTTTTGGCTGGGCTGCACCTGAAGGAAGGAGCCTGAGATCCGAGGTGGGGTGGGGGAGTGGGAGGGAGACAGCCCTGGTTTACTGTGGCAGCTGGAAAAGAGGTTTTACGGTGAGTTTGATTAAGTTTGCACTGAGGTTTCAGTGTAGAATTAGCCAAGCGTTTTTCTTTCTTTTCATTTGTAACTGTCTTTGCTCTGCCCGTTTTCACTTATTGCTACTTAAACCCTACGGCTTCCACTTAATAAAACCATTTTTATTTTCTATCCAACCCAGTGTAAGGGGGGGGGGGAGCAACCAGTGTGCACATTCCTCCTTTCATTGCTAAAGGGAGCTTACCTAATTCTTCGGGGTTTGATCCCATCTGGGGAGTGCTCTCTCAGGAGGCTGGGCCCTAAACTGCACTCTCTTTGGACCGAAGTGGTTCCGTGTCGGTGCTGCTTCTCAGTGGCAGCAGGGACCTCAGGGCCTTGGCTGGGGGAGACCAGCAGAGCTGGCCCAGCAGGACCGGGCAGAGAGAAGCCCCAGAGAGCGGGAAGGCGAGTGGCAGTGGCCGTGTCAGCACCACAGGAGGCCCCCCTGAGGGGTCGTCTGTGACCTCACCCCGTCATACAAAGTAAGGAAGATTTCTCAGAAATTCAGGTCCCTCACAACACTCCTGTTAATGCATCCCAGAAACATATTTGCCTTTTTTTTTTGCAACAGTGTCCATTGTTGACTCATATTTAGCCTGTGGTCCACTATGACCCCTAGATCCTTCAGCAGTACTCCTTCCTAAACAATCACTTCCCATTCTGTATGTGTGAAACTGACTGTTCCTTCCTAAGTGGAGAATTTTGCATTTGTCTTTATTAAACTTCATCCTGTTTACCTCAGACCATTTCTCCAGTTTGTCCGGATCATTGTGAATTGTGACCCTATTCTCCAAAACTCTTGAAACCCCTCCCAGCTTGGTATCATCTGCTAACTTAATAAGTGTACTCTCTATGCCATCGTCTAAAACATTGAGGAAGATATTGAATGGAACTGGTCCCAAAAATAGACCCCTGCAGAACCCCACTTGTTATGCCCTTCCAGCATGTTTGTGAACCATTAATAACTACTCTCTGAGAATGGTTATCCAGCCAGTTATGTACCCACCTTATAGTAGCCCCATCTAAGTTGTATTTGCCTAGTTTATTGATAAGAAGGTCATGCGAGACCTTGTCAGATGCCTTTCAAAAATCTAGGTATGCCACATCCACCTCTACTTCCTTATCCACAAGATTGGTTATCCTACCTCTGTCCAGGTATCTTCTGAAGGAATCAGGATTCCTACCACCCACTGAGTCATTGAAGATCAGCACCTGACTTCTCTAACCAGAGAAAAGCCATGATCCCTGTTCCACACCATGTACTGCAGACCCTGTCAGAGGCACCTCTGCACTGCTCCGGAGACATACTGTCCTGTGGCTATACAACACTGCACATTCTGAGTATAAAAGCCCTTGATTCTACATGCTCCCTCTATTGCATTTGGTCTAGTACCTAGTGCAAAGAGCTCCTGTTCTGTTCTCAGTAAGAGATGCAGGGTGCAGAGAGCAGACATTGGCCCCACGAGTGACACTGTACAAAATAAAAATGACAATGACTCCTGTGGCACCTTATAGACTAACAGATGTATTGGAGCATACGCTTTCGTGGGCAAAGACCCACTTCGTCAGATGCATGCACAGCTTGGATGTATTGGTGCATAAGCTTTTCATCTTTGCCCACGAAAGCGTATGCTCCAATACATCTGTTAGTCTATAAGGTGCCACAGGACTCCTTGTTGCTTTTGCAGATCCAGACTAACACGGCTACCCCTCTGATACTGTACAAAATAAGGACCCCACCCAAGCCCTTCTGTCGTGTTTGGAGATCACAGCCCGCGCAGTCACTTACTGATGGCAATGCTGGCTTTGGCTCTCACAAGGAGCTTGAGGCACTCAGGTTTATTGTGGAAGCAGCAGTAATGAAGTGGTGTGTTCCCCTTCTCTGTCTGCTTCTCAAGGCTCCCACTGTGGCAAAGGATAGTCAGCATGAGTATGCCTGAGACAGAACAGTTCTCAAGAGGTCATCAAGTCCAGGCCCCTGCCCAAGGCAGGACCAATCCCAACTAAATCAACCCAGCCAAAGCTTTGTCAAGCTGAGACTTAAAAACTTCTAGGGATGGAGATTCCACCACCTCCCTAGGTAACCCATCCCAGTGCTTCACCACCCTCCTAGGGAAATAGTTTTTCCTAATATCCAACCTAGACCTCCCCCACTATAAGTTGAGACCATTGCTCCTTCACCACTGAGAACAGACTCTCTCCATCCTCTTTGGAACCTCCCTTCAGGAAGTTGAAGGCTGCTATCAAATCCCCCCTCATTCTTCTCTTCTGCAGACTAAATAAGCCCAAATCCCTCAGCCTCTCCTCATAGGTCAATCACTGTATGACATTTGACCCCAAACCTCCGTAACTTACAGGAACATAGATCAGAAACTACAATATCCAGCATTCGGCTTCTAGCCAATGCACATGAACAGGGCTCGACAAATAATGTAATCTACACGCCCGTGGTGAGTAGATTACAACCCGCAAGAGCCGGCGCAGAGCAATCTGCGTATGCGCAGAACGATCTGCGCATTCGCAGAGCCGCGCAACTGGTGAGCAGAGCTCACCGCGGCTTGGCCAAACATCCAGTCTACTGTGTGGCTCTTGTGCATTGGGCAGCTCTGCTGACAGCTCTGCTGGAAACTTGTGCATTTCACTGCTGTGGACAGCAATTGAAGTTCATTCTGTGGCCACTAGAGGGTGTTTTGGCCCATGGCTTTAGGCAGGAGGAGACAACTTGTTATGGGTGGAGGATAACGCAGTGCTGACTGGCAGGGGCTGACTAGGCCCAGATTAAGGCAGGGTCTTAAAAGGGATAGGTCACAGCTGCCCTCATGCTTTATGAAAATTGGCTTCTGAATATGACAATACATATCTCAAAGACATTTTATGCAAAACAGATCATGTAACATAGACTTTTTAAAGTTACAATCTGCTGAATGAGTATATTCTATTTGTGCATGTCTCATGCTTGTGTATAAAGTTAGAAATATGGACTGTAAATCTGTTTTTAATTCTAAATTTTCTAATGAGGGCCATTACTGATACTTTAGGAACTTAATGGCTCAGTACTCAAACCAACGACCCATGAATGGTTTTATTTTCCAGTGAGCCCAAACTGTGGTCTCTCCTAGAAAGACATGTGACTGTACCACTTGGTACTGCCATCCATCTTGAATGTGATACTTTTTCAAGGGGATGGGGAGACTGAACAACGGGTTCTTGTCTATTTAAGGAATGGAAAGCAATCAGGTCTTTGTCTTCAGCTGGCTTTGGAAATTGCCTCCCCATGCTAAGAGGATATATATGAA